CTGTGTAACTGCCTCGAGGGTGCTTGACCATTTCAACACAACGTGGTGCGATCATCCCCCTTGCGCGGAGTGAGGGTTCTCCACCCCGCACAACATGATCTACTCGACCACCATATACTCGATCAGTTGAGGGGGCGGAGAAAACAAGCGGCGTGGGCACGCCACACTGCTGTGACTTGTGTATGTAGCTCAGTAACCGCAGGTTCTTGTTTGGGGCCGGTTCCGACACTACCTGACCTGGATTGGATCGACCGAATTTCTGGCATGGAACAATCGGTCCATCTATCCTAGGTTGTGGGAGTCATGTGCTGTGTAGTTTGGCAATTATACAACACACGAGAGAACATATCTTCTTCCTGCATCAAAAATTGGCTGCATGAAAATCTTTTCGGCGAATCTTTGTCATTCAGTTTTCATTCAATACATAACTCTTGTTTATGTGTAGCCAACGCGGCCTCGTGGGTCTGCTGTTACGTTGTTGAACTGCTGTATGAGTTTCTCTATCTAGTCTATGATTTGGCGGGAATAAATGCACGCAAGAATTAGTTGGGAAGTCACACCTCCTCTTATTAGATATACTCGCAGCAGTATCTGGTCGTCAGGATCCCAAGGGTATACGTGTTGGGAATTTCGTGTGGTGTAGGGTACCATTGGTGCAGTCACGGAGACCCTTTTGGCGCGGTTGGAACGATGAGGCTTGCGCGCGTGTTGCGCACTTCTTTCTTCCTTCTCTCCTTCCACCGCTACCGCCGTCTCTCTCCAATCAAGTTTCATTCTCCCACTCTCTCTCCACCACTCTCTCAATCTCTCACTCTCGGCCTAACACGACCGACTACCCAGTGCCCCAAGTAACGCCCAGCACGGGCTTGCTGCACCCCGCGTAGTTTCCCTTTCACCTCTCTCCTCACACAACCCATTTAGTTAGCAAGAAGGGACTAGACTACACATACAAACAAATTGTTATACAGGGAACAACACATTTATTTCAGAACACACACAGACAGGCAGAGATACGGAACGCGCTGGATTGGTAGCCGAGAGGTTGTTCTAATACGGACCTCACAGCTGCACAGCAGCACTCCCCAATAACGCAGCAGGTTGCGCTGCCACCTCCTCACGCTCACGCGTCACGACCACACGGCAGCGCTGGGCGCGAGACACGGCGCGCAGCATCTTGTTGTGTGTATGCCTTGGTCCCCGTCCTTCGCGAAAGAGTTGGAAGGCTGAAACAACCAACAACAACAACGCGTGGTTGCGAAAGGACCACAAATAAATTCTACCACATCATGCCATGCATACTATTACTAAATAACGTAGTAAGAAGAGTCGGAGAGTGGCACCGGGTGCGATCGTTTTTTGAGTGTTTTCCCTCTGAGTTTTGATCACACCCCGGTGCCATCTCTCCGACCCCGGTGCGGAACTTCATTATGTCTAAATCACTTCGTTTAGAATTTTCAAGGCACCCCGGTACGATCTCTCCGACCGGTGCGATCCCCGATGAAATGCACACAGACAGGTGCTGTATACACGCACCCCGGTGCCATCTCCCCGACCGTGCCATAGTAAGTAATGATTGGTACCAGTGTAGATACCCATGCACGCACGCACACAGTCTTCTGCACACGCACGTGCCACGCATTGGCATATATATCTGAGCCGAAAAAAGGCGGCGAAAATACACATAGACTACAGACTTTATTCCGCGTCCAGCACCCGTTTCCCGTGTAATGCCAGCTGACGTCAAGTGTAAAGGAGGTGAAGCCATGGGCGGTAGCTTGCTCCTTGAGATAGATGAAGGTGCTATCGTTGACACTCTTGTCCACGACCACGTTGATGAGAGGGGAAAGTTGCTTGTTATTGCTGGGAGACGATCCAGACCCTCTTGCTGGATTAGCAAGGGTCTGAGATGAAGTGGGGATCCAACTTAATCTCGGGGGGTACACAGAGTGGACAATTCTACGGAGGTAGGGGTCAGAAGGGTATACGTTAGTATACGTCCTCCTCGATTTTTATTTTTGTTTTATTTTGATCGGTTTCCGAGGGCTCTTTTCTCGAACGGTCGGTGCGGTACCTGTCCTTTTCTTTCTATCATTTTGTTTTCTTTTTCCGAGTGAGTGGGTTGTACCCTATTTTTGTTCTGTTTCTCCCCGCGGCGTCGTGTGTGCCGAGTTTTGAGACCACGGGCTCCCCATTTTTTGTGGACTATAGAGCCAATAATGCGAGAAACAACAACAACAACAACAACAACAACAACAACAACAACCTCCTGACCGACCCACAATAAGATGTACCCTATTCGTTCTAACAGCAACACTCCTTCGCACATATTATAGTAGTAGCGGCTACGTTTTTTTTTTTGATGTCTTCACTTCAAATGATGAGCGCTCACAGCACTGACTACTAGTAGTAGTGCCGTTTACTCCAACCCGTGGTCACGCAGAAGAGCCCCTCTCTACCCTCCCCTCCTGCGGGACTTTGCCTTCGATTCTTAATGCGAGAAGATGTTTGGGTGCGGTAGCTCGTCAGAGGCCGAAAGAGAAAGAAGGTTGACTCAAGACCTTGTTGCTTAGAGAGTAAGAGACATGCGGTAGGCCACACCATCGCCATGCAGCATGTCTGTCAATACATTCCATCCGCGTACCCCCCGGAGGCCCCGTAGACAGTATACTCTGCCGAGCACCCCAAACAGCCCCCCTGCTCGGTACGAGATACTATCTACGAAATCCCCGACACGACTATCATTGCCAGACAAAACGGCAGACAGAAAAACCAAAACCCCTAACAATAAATCATCCACCATTCCAATCCAAACGACTCTGCCAATAGAACATGTCCCACGAAATCGCCGGATCTTCCAACAGAACACGTCCTGCAAAGCTTTCAAACCTTGTGATGTCAAACTTCTACCCCTAAAAGGTCTGTCAAGAAAAATAAATCACCCTCTCGAGAAAAGTGCTCTACCCAATTCTCAAGCAGTCAAAACACGAACAATCACCCTTGGAAAATACCCGGCAAAAAGATCAACGTTCCATCAGAATCACGTCAGAACGGGGAGGACGGGTAACTCCGGGAAAACGTGTCTTACGTCCTGACTACTCAGAACAAATTCATTCCTCAGATAAGTATTCATGCTTCAATTCAATGGCCAGTTCAAATTACAAGAACATGCCAAACCCTCTTTCCGACATCCAATACCTTGACAAAGAAACCACTCCTCCTACTACTGTACAACATACACGTACATACCCCGAAAAAAGCGGCGAAATAGCGCATCTGAGGTGGTGCCAGTACACACGGTTTCAGTTTTTTCCCGCTTTCGTTTCGGCCTTCCTTCTACGGATACCAGTACGTACGCAGAAGTACAATAGCTTCGGGTTGTGTAAGGTGGGGTAGGGTGCGGCTTGTACGTTGTGTGTTTGGTTGAGTGTAGTACGGTTGGCAACTTCCATACCAATAATAAAAGTATTAAAAACCTTGGGATCGAACGATCCAAACTCTCCTTGCACTCCTCTCAAGTCGTTGAAACGGACACTTTAAACTGGCATCCCGCGTGAACGGCGACAATCCGATCGTACGTAAGGGAGTGGCGCTTCGCTGACTCCGCCCCCACGTGTAAAAGGTACGTACATATACCTCATTTCGGCAGCTGAAAAGGAGTATTGTATTTTGGGGTCGGAGAGATCACACTGGGTGCGATCTCACCGACCCCCGTTGTAAAGGATATGCACGCGCGGTGCAATCTGGGAGACCCGTGAAGACGAACTCACTTGTTATTAACTCGTGTGGAACAGCTGCAGTAGCTGTTGCCAGGGGAAGGCAGAGGACTGACTAGGATGGGGCCAGGATCAGCTGCTAAAGCAGGGGCTACTCGATCCTGTCCCTTGTTTTGTCCTTCCGTGGGGAGTTGCATCTCCCGCACTTTTCTCTGGGCATTAGCCCGCACTACCGTTTGTACTTTCCTACACATTCAAATTTCATAACACTAGCCCACCGTGGAGGTTCTCATAAGCAGATACGTAAATCTCGGAACTTGACAATTACTTGTCAAATCCCAAATGAGAGTATCGAGGATGCGGAGCTCCAAAATACCACAATTTACCCTCCCACACCTCTCACTCGATGAGCCGCAAGACCATCGTTTGATCAATAAAAAAAAGGTACAGGAAGTAATAAATTGGGGCTAACAGAGAGGAAACCAATGGGAGAGCCGCAACAGGCGAAGGCTACAAATACCATAACAGGTCAGAACTCAAAAGAAAGGGGAAAAGAGGACACGAAAGAAACGAACAAAATAAGCGTCGCCGGAGCGACGGAAAAGGAACGGTGAAAGAAGAAGGCCTGTATCGACAAAACGATAAAATACGCCAAATAATCACCACGGTAGCGTGGGAGCGACAACAACGGTCACGAAACACCTTCAGCCCGCAATCTCTAACAAGCAGAGACAAAAATATACGAAAAAGTACAAAAGCATCACAACGTACCAAAACGGCTGGAAATCAAACGTTTCGGAAGCGAAACCAAGAAGAAGAGGGGTCGTGACACTAAACAACAGCTGGCAAGACCTCGGCCGGGAACAGAGAAAGCTCGACCTGGCAGACTATTGAAGCCAAAAGAAAGAAAACGAGAAAACGAAAACAAATAATACTATTGTAAAAGCAACAGAAGGCAAAAAACAACCAAGCACGCCATCTTAAGATGGGCGCGCGACGTCATCAGACAACGAATCGGTCACAACGTCGCCACGCGACATGTCGATGTTGCGAAGAACACCCTTGAATAGGGCGCTGCCGCTGTATACTTGGAGGCACCAGGATTCGGAGACGGCGGTGTCGACGGTAGAGTAGCGAACATCGGGAAGGGCGAGCTTGACAGGTCCAGGATCGTCCAAGAAGCGGACGACGTAGAAGTCGGACGGCAGAGGTGATCCAGAAACCTTGCCCTACCACCAGAGTCCATCTTGTGTCTTGTACCAGAAGAAGGCGCCCACCGGTAGAGGGGTGTTGGCGAAGCGACGGTCCCATGTTGAACGGGAAACAAGCGAGTAGCCCGAAGGCAAAGCTCGCGCACCTTGAGCACGCGCCAATTCCCTGGTAGCGGCCCCAATGCGCATCGCACGATAACGACGATTTGTTTGGCGATGTTGGTCAGGCGAACCTGCCCAGTACCGGAGAATGTGCGGCTTGGAATGCTGCAGGTCCATCTCACGCTCCCAAGAAGGGCGCAGAAGGCCCTGCCAGTGTGTCTGATACAAAACAGCTATCGTGCCCCCACGGCCACGGACGGACTGGTGGCCATTAATGCGTTCAACCTCTAAACGTTCAACCGGAGTCGTCACGTCGTCTTCCGTAACATGGTAGGGAGGAGATTTTTTCGCAAAAGAGTTCAGGACATACGGAGTAAGACCAGCAGGCAGAAAGCGCGGTAGGTCATCGGTGTCATGCGGGTTGGCGCAAGGCTTGCAACGCACAACCGAAACACGAGGTTTCAAGTCTTGGCCCGGCAGGTCCGAAGGAAGATCCAAGTAAAGCAACTTGGAAGCCAAAGGACGACTGTCAGGGCTGTTAGAACACGGGCCCACAGCCAAGATTTTGAAGGGGCCAGTCCAGAGTAGAGATAACTTGGCTTTGAGAATCTTATCATCTGTGCCTGAACGAACGCCTTGTCAAATAGTAGATTCGGAGTTATACACCCAAACCCATCGGCCAACAGCGTAAGAAGAAAGGTTATGGAAAGCGTCCGATAGAGTGGAGTTTCGCCGCTCGATCCGCGAAACGGACAGGTTATGCTGTTCACGCACCAAGTCGTAAGAACGGCGTTGGCGGTCAGCAGCAAGATCGCAAAGTTCGAGTTGATCACGATGCGAGCTTTGGTGGCCACGAGCGTAAGGATGCTCAAGAACCGTCATCGGTAAATGAGCCAAGCGATTCATATGGACCTCATGGGTTGCTAAACCGGTAGCGGCGCTAACGGAATTGTTGTAAGCAAACGCGACGTGTGGGAGATGAATGTTCCAATCATCTTGTCGTTCGTTGACAACCATCGCCAACATCTGAGCCACAGTGTGGTTGACACGCTCCACACCCCCGTTTCCATTGGGACGGTACGAGCTAGTAGCCACTTTGCGGATAGCAAGACGAGTATACACGGCTTGGGACATTTTAGAGCAAAACTGGGAGCCATTGTCAGACAAAAGACTCAACGGGCAACCCCACAAACGGATATACCGGTTGACAAGGATGTCAGCTGTGCCTTCGGCGGTGAATTCTGCAGCCGTAACCACGTACATATCAGCACGGCGGCTGAAACGGTCTGTAAAGAGCAGAACGTATGTGTTGCCACGCGGTGTCAACGGAAGTGGACCAAAATAGTCAACACTCACCGACACACCAGGGCCCGAAGGCAAAGGAGGGGATATGATAGGCCACCGAGGAGTCTGACGAGACGATTTACGGGGTTGGCATCGTCAACAATGCCGCACCCACCATTGCGTACAAACACTCATGCCAATCCACCAATAGATACGTTCCAGCATGCTAAGCGTGCGAGCCGCACCGAAGTGACAGGACGCATCAGCGTGGCAGACTTGCATGATCCACGGACGCAGGAGCATGAGAACACAAATCCGAATGGGTTCATCGTTAAGAAGGCGAGCAGCACGCCCGCCAGGACGCGTGGTCGTGGACGACGGGGTCGCTGTTTGCTTGCGAACAAACTAGACCAAACCATCATCGTCAACATGCAACCGCAACCTTTGTTAGACAGGTCACGAATCTCCGAAAGAGAGGGTCGACGAGCGGACGGAACACGGTCCAAGAAATCCAAATGGAGGATCGAAGGCCGACCCAGAAGGATGAAACGAATGGCTGCATCACACGCAGGTTCGTTACGTTGATCGCGAGCCCAATCAGCATGCGAGAAACGTTCGACGGACGCCTGGAAGGCTAAATCCGCCGAAGAATGCAAAGCCGCCTCGATAGAAGAGGGGGCTGATTCGCGAGGCACCGACTGCAACCCATCCGAGGATAGAGTAGCAATGGAAGCCGAAGGCGAATGCGCGCGAGCGGCTGACACCAAACGCGACTCCGAAGAGCCGGGGGCTGCAGAAGGCTGCAAAGCAGGAACAACCGCAGTTGTGGTAGGCGTCGGAGACGCAGTCTCCACTCCATGAGTCAGAGGCGCATAGGGAGTCGAGGATAAACCACCAGCACCAGTAGTCGAAACCCAACTGGGCAAGGCTGGTGTCATCGACGGCGACGAAGGCGCCGTCGGAGACCGCCGAAACGGTCGAGAGGGAGCGGAAATCCGCGTGGGAGACAAAAAAGGCTCACCGTCAGAAAAACCATAATCAACAGGCGGGAGTGGCGTGCCTGCCACAGCTGCCTTGCGACGGCGAGTCCTGGTGGAGATCACTTGGGTGGGGTCGAGGGTCCGACGCGGGTTTCCAAGGGCGGGGATGGCAGACGGAGGCTCGGGCTCGAGAGCCAAGACATCATCGAAAGACTGAGGTAGGGAACCGGACCAAACGATGGGAGGTCGATTGCGCAATCGCGACCGCGCCGAACGGCAGAACACCTCGGACGGCAAGGGAGCGACCTTGGGCGACAAGGAAGCGACGTTCCAAACGCCCGATGAAGACGAGAGGTCTGATGGCGGTAGACGCGGACCGTGCCGACGGAAATCAGCGAAATCAGCCGTACAGGGGGCAAGCCCACCCAAGACCGAAGTCGGGGAATTAGGNTGGCAGACGGAGGCTCGGGCTCGAGAGCCAAGACATCATCGAAAGACTGAGGTAGGGAACCGGACCAAACGATGGGAGGTCGATTGCGCAATCGCGACCGCGCCGAACGGCAGAACACCTCGGACGGCAAGGGAGCGACCTTGGGCGACAAGGAAGCGACGTTCCAAACGCCCGATGAAGACGAGAGGTCTGATGGCGGTAGACGCGGACCGTGCCGACGGAAATCAGCGAAATCAGCCGTACAGGGGGCAAGCCCACCCAAGACCGAAGTCGGGGAATTAGGACCTATCCCACCCAAGCCAATACCCGCGGCCCGATCACCGGAAGGGGTAAGGCCATACGAACGGATGAAAAACACCGCCTCCTCATACTCGGCTGGGGTCAGACGGCTGCGACCCGAACGGTCGCATTCAGCCGCAGCGACTGGGAGGCGTGAGAGGAAATCAGCGTTGCCATTTGCCGAACCCTTGCGATACTCGAGAGTGTAATTGTAGGCGGTAAGAAATTCCAGCCAGCGCTGAACGCGGGCATTGTTCTCCCCCACCTTAGCAAAATGCTCGAGAGACTTGTGGTCGGTAAGAATGCGAAATTTTGTACCCCACAAGTAGCCGCGAAGGCGCTTGATACACCACACGATGCTACTCGCTTCGAGATCGAGGGGAGTCCAGTGGCGTTCTGAGTCCAAAGTAGCCCGACTGATGAAGACAATTGGGCGAATGGAACCATCTGGCTGTTCTTGTTCGAGAGTCCCACCAAACCCATCGCGACTAGCATCACAGTAAAGATGAAAAGGCCGCGAGCCGTCTGAAACGGCATCCCAATCTGGATAAACCAAAACAGGAGGATTGGCCAACTCAGCTAATAATACGCGAACGGTTTGCTCCATGGAAGGGGTGAAGAAAAGGTTCTCCTGCTTCTTGAGTAGAGTAGTCAGAGGTCGAAGGCATTTAGCCATGTTGGGGAGGAACTTACGGTAGTAGCTGAGACCGCCGAGAAGGGAACGTAGTTGCTTGACATCCTGGGGCATAGGCATTTTGGTGAGGGCCGAAACCTTGGCACCGTTAGGCCTAACGCCGTCAGGGGAGATGGTGTGTCCGAGGAAGTCTGCTTCAGTAGCGCCAATAGTAGCTTTCGGAGGCGTGAGTTTCAAGTCGTGCGTACACAAGCGTTCAAAGAGTGCGCGCATGGTACCAACACGAGTAGCAAGGGTGTCATCAAAGACGATCAAATCATCCAAGTACGATGCAACACCGCGGAGATTTTTGATGCCTTCGTTGACAACTTTTCAAAACTACCCAGGGGCAGCCGAACCGCCTTGAGGCATCTTCAACCACTCGAAAAGCCCGGAAGACGTCACGAATGCCGTCAAAGGGATTGTATCGCGGTGCACCGTGATTTGGTGGAACGAAGATTTCATGTCGAAAAGGGAGTAAATTCGCCCTTTCAACAACTTGTCCAAAGTATCATCGACTCGAGGAATCGGAAGCTGACTCAAAGCACAAAGCTTGTTGAGCTTGCAATAATTGACGGTGATGCGAACACCACAAGATTTCTTCGGTATGACCACCAAAGGGCTCGAGTAGGCGAGGTCGAATGTTGGATCAAACCTGCCGCAAGATATTGGTCAAGGATCGCGTCAACTTGTTTCGCCACCGGGAGATTAACGCGGTAGGGGCGAGACGTGACGGGTGCGCTGCCAGGAGGAACTGTAAGCTTGAAAGGAAAAAGCGAACAAGATCCAAAGTCGGTCGGATAACTCGAAAACACATCGTGGTATTCGCACAAAACGTTACCAAACTGAGTAATGACAACGGGAGTCCAACCCGGGCCGTGGAGATCAAAAGTAATCTCACGGAGATGGCAGGAGGGCTTATCCCAGACTTGGGAGAAACTTTGACGCTGTTCTGGCGTCAACCGCTCGAGAAAAGCAGGCGAAGGCGACAAACAGGGAGAACTGGCGGAACCAAAGTCCCCTTGGTCGCTTGGCGACGGGATGGGTCGCTCCTGTAACTTATACACAAAGGGGTCAGAGACGGAGTGTGTGGCAGACGAAACAATGCTACCCGCAGAAACAGGACCAGGGACCCAGCTGTCTGAAGCAGCGGTGGATTCTGAAGCCGCAGTTTCAAGACCATCGCTCAAGCTGTGGCGAGAAACAGCGCTAAGAGGCACGCGAAGAAGGGGAGCCGAAGCTGTACCCAGGACGTCGCCGGGTTCGAGAGACGAGATGCCCGCAAGAGGGATAAGTTGGCAGCCATTTTGCACAAAATGCTCCTCGGAAGAAAACATAGCACATCGGGGAAGCCTATCCACCAAATAGTTACCCACAAGGGCAGGCGAGCCATCATTGCGTACCAAATTGACCTGAATAAGGCTATGCTCTGGGTGAAGTTGAACGGAATGTTTGCCTGCATAGCGAAGTTGGTAACTTCCATCCGTTGCGGACAGATCGTGAGCAAATGCAGTGGCACCGCAAGTGTCATGTTGAGCTAAAGTAAGTTCACCAAAGACACGGTCACCAGGACGTTTCGCACGCAAAGTGCGGTAAGAACGGTCACTAAACCGCATCCAACTACCTCTGCCGAGGAGCACGTCATGATGCATGACGCCGTCAGGAACAACGTATGCCCAAACAGCAAGAGAAGAAGTAGGAAGGTTCTTACGGAGAAACTGAACACTCAAACGGACAATGGTCGAAGTTTGAAGCGGCGCAGATTTCCCAAAACCACCCCAACAGCGAGGTTGGGTGTGTTTCTCAGAATGCGTTGAAGCAGCCGAAGCCGCTTTCATGGCTTCCCGTGCAGAACCACTGATAAAAGACTGCGGAGAACCCGTATCCAAAAGAGCGATACACCCGAACTGCACAGAGGCCGAACCGCTTTGGAGGAGGATTCTGGTGGTGAAAGAGTCGTCATCGATGGTGACAACACCACCAACCAAATCCGGACCTTGTTCTGGGAGCGAGGAGGAGGACGACGGGATGTATTCTGAAGACACGGCCTAAACGGCGGTGTCGTGATCCGACGGGACATTCGGAGCGTATTGCGAAAATGACGCGAACCGGTCGGTCGATGGAGGGCACGAAGCCGTCCTAAGGCGCTGGTGTGTGGAAGGGTTAACTTCATACACCGCAGAATGAAGGGAAGACGTCGGAACGTGGTCGGTCGGAGGCAGCAATAAGAGCTGCACTCGGGAGGCGGGGCACGGTGTCGTAAAAGACTACGTACGTTCTGTAGGGCGGTGCCTAACAGGGTGAGGCCGCGTCATCTTGATGTGCATCCAGCGTCAGGATGATCGGCCTGGAGGCCAATGCCCCAAACACGGTCGTAAGGACTGGCTTCGGCAAGGATTTTGTCACCAGATCCGAGGAGATGATTTCGTAACTCGGAATTTTGACTAAATTTTGCGTAAGAGCCAGTGAGCACAATGTTTTCGCGTTCTTGTTCCCAAAGAGATTGGTCGAAACCACGGACCTCACGGCCAAACGTTTTGTGTAAGGCGGGGTCTGACACTTGCATGACGTTCTGCAAAGCACAGCGATCTCCGAAAAGACGGGCTTTTTCTGTAGCGAAAAATTGTTCGGCACACGAGTAAACAATGCCATCGACCGTGAAGGTCGACGGTGTCCATTGGGAAAAAGGGGAGGGCGGCTTCTAAAAGAAAACCATGTCTGGAGTACAATACTCGGTAGACGGGCCGAAAACGGCCGAAACAACAGAGGCCGGAGCGCCCTGAGTGCTGTTAGTCGAAGCTGGGGTCGCAGCAGAAGATGAGGAGTCATGATGGACAGTATGCACATCCATGGGGGTGGTCCTTGTAACGGCGGGAACCGACGAAGAATCGACTTGAGCCGGATTGTTCGTAATTGGGCCAGCAACACTGGGCTGGGTGCACCCCAATTCTAAACCTGAAGAAACGCCTCGTCAGGTGTTCGGCAACGGGTCGCTTTCGCTGGGAACGGCTGCCAAAGCCGGGTTAGTTGGAGAACTGAACCGAGCATGTCGCTCCTGGCTATTCCCCCGTGACAAGGTACGCGAGACCGCCGGCTGTTCGGAAGTCACTTCGGGGGCGTCCTCCCGAAGCGGTGGTTTCAACACTGTCGACGTCGGTTGCAGCAGCCTAGAAGTGGGTGCCGTTGTGAGAGCGCGCGTCGGAGAAGGTGGGGGTTGTAAAGAGGACCCACGGTCGAAATGTCGCGTGGCGGAATCTAAGGATGCTCGGTGGTCGGAACCAGGGGGGCAAGGTGATTCGAAGCCAGACGAATTCGACCTAAAACTTGCCGGTCGGAACCAGTCAAGTTAGCTATCGGTGCAACAGTCGAAGGCGGACCTTCAACGGGAGCGAGCATAGACGAATTGAGCGTATCCGAAGAAGCATCTGAGGCAATCAATTCGGGCAGTTTATCAATCGTCCAAAGGTCATGGCTACTACCGATCCTATCTGCAGACGATGGGGGGAGCGAACGAGAGGTGCTCGACAAACGAGGAGAACTCTTTGGTCCCGAAGGTCCAACGGGTCTGTTTCCACACCTCAAGACAGCACTCACGTCAGACTGATTAGTTTCCGACGAAACAACAATTCGACGAGGCGAGGGTGCAGAGGTTGCAGACGATAAGTGCGTTGGCGAAGGTGGGGTGTGAGCATTTGGCTGAAGACCGACCTGATCGACACTTGAAGAAACAGCGTGTACCTGAGTACCGCTGTCCGATAACACCGAAGTGCGAGAGCGCGTAGGGAGAACATTTACTGAAGTGTTGTTGTGGTTGCTTAGGACCGAAGTGCTAGAGGCAACAGGGCGCGTAGGGAGAGCATGTACCGAAGTTTTGTCGTCGTTGCTTAGGACCGGAGTGCTAGAGGCAACAGAGCGCGTAGGGAGAACATGTACCGAAGTATTGTTGTCGTTGCGTAAGACCGGAGTGCTAGAGGCAACAGAGCGCATAGGGAGAACATGTACCGAAGTATTGTTGTCGTTGCCTAAGACCGGAGTGCTAGTGGTAACAGAGCGCGTAGAGGGAACATGTACCGAAGTGTATTGTTGTCGTTGCTCAATTAAGACCGGAGTGCTAGAGGCAACTGAGGGTGATACGCGCGCGTCTTGTGTTGAGCGAGACGAAGTTCCCAAAGATGCTGGAGGCGCTCCGAGGGAAGGAGGCGAACCACCGTCCGGGAGTCATCTGGTACGTGAACGGCCGCCATTGTGGAAGTTACCAGGCTGGCGTGCGTTGTGATTGGTCGAAACCATGACGCCAGACGAGGGACCAGTTTGAGCATGCGATTGGGGTTGATAGACGGACAGAGCACCAGAGTGGTGGGTGTTGCCAGACGTCTGTTGTGTATGATGATGGTTACCCGCGCAATGTCCCGCGGTTTGACCACCGTGATGTGATTGTTGGTGGTGATTGTGAGAGGAACTACCACCGTCGGAACGGCGAGGCCCAGCGTGGTTTCTACGCTGAGAGGAGGAAGAAGACTGCCGATGACGTCTACCCTGACTGTTGTTGCGACCTTGCTAACGCCAAAAAGCAGCAGAGTCGTCATTGAGGTGACCCAACTCGGGATTTAACAACCCACTAGAATTCGTGAAGGGAGAAGCACATTGCTTCATGAAAATGGTCCTCACCCGAGCAGTTCAGACAGCCGTTTCTGTTTTCGCGGAAGGCTTGCGCACGAGCCTCTTTTGTGTCAACAAAGGAGTCCATAAAAAAGGATCATCGGTGTTACGAAAATTGGCGGTGAGGGCGGAGACAGAGTTTCGCGCTATTTCGAGAACCATGGATACACAAGGGGCCAAAGTACGCCCAGAGCCAGTCACAGACGAAACTAACAAACGGAAGGCCCGAAGGTAATCCGCGAAAGGAGTACCATCTGCTACGCCAAATTGTTGCAGCCGCAAAACGACTCTTGGCGGTCTCAGACGTCGAATTGCTCCGCCAGGTGGCGCAACAATAGCTAAAAAGCGTCTGGTCCAGGGACTCCTCCATCCAAGCTCCGGTTCACTTGCTGAAAGAAATCAGTAACGGCAAGGACGAGATCGGCGGTAGAGGGCTTGTCAGGGGTGATCGCACTCAAGAGTTTTTTTTCGAGAGGACGTTCCCATCCACGCGCAAAATCGGCGCCTGTCAAACCTTCACTCTGCTCATCACACAACAGCAAAATATCGGACAAGGCCGTTCTTGTGCGAATAAGCTGCTGATAGCCATCTCCCGGCAACAGAGCAGCGGGGAAGGGCATAATAGCGACGTTCTCAACTTTTTTCAAGTTGAGGTTGATGTACGCTCGTTGTACGGTAGCTACATGAGCATTACGAGCAGCTGCATCAGTCGCATCGATCGATGCTTGACGAGTGTGTGCCGTGTTAGAAGAAGGTGGCAAAGCACGATCATCGGAAACAGCAGGGGGTGTGGTGACGGCTACGAAGCAGCTTTGGGAGCATGGTCTGAGAACACCCGGCACTGATGGTACAAACGCCAAAGGGGGGTTGGGGTTCGAAAAGCCAGGGTTCTGCATCATTCGTGGATCTACGGCATGGCGAGCGGTAGAAAGGCTACGGGGTGCAGGGGTTTCCAAAGAAACAGGGGCGGTCGAAACCGGGGCTGAGTTCGAAACCTCAACGCTACGTACATGTCCGGAGTCTACAGCAATGCGGCAACGGACAGAAGGTGCAAAGGGTTCCGAAGAAACAGGGGCGGCCGAAACCGGGGCTGAGTTTGAAAACTCAACGGACATACATTTCCGGAGTCTACAGCATTGAATGCGGCAGATCGGACAGAAGGTGCAAATGGTTCCGAAGAAACAGGGGCGGCCGAAACCGGGGCTGAGTTCAAAAACTCAACGCGACGTTCATGTCCGGAGTCTACAGCATTGAATGCGGCAGAACGGACAGAAGGTGCAAAGGGTTCCGAAGAAACAGGGGAACCTAAAGGCGGGTGAAGGTCCGAAAACGCAACACGACGCAAACGCCCCGAGTCCGAGGAAAGAGGGGGGGCCGAAACCGTACTATCAGCCGAAGTCGCGGGGGGGGGCGAAGCCTGAGAATAAATATCATCATGTAGTAGGAAACGATCACTCCACGTCGCATCCATAAGGGACGGGACTACTTGCCTGGAATCCACCGCCGGCGCCATCTTCCAATTGTCCCAAGAGGTGCCTCCACATGGAACTTCAGCAGCACCTGGTAGTAAAGGCACTGCAAGCGTGGGCTCATCAGACACGACCGGCTGCGGGGTCCCATCCTTCTGCAAGTCCCTCCTTCGTACGTGAAATCGCGCCTCCAGCAACAGCCGAACACCCGGCCTGCGAAGAGAGAGGTCGCTCAGTTGCCATCGTCTCGGGGCTTGAAGTCCGTGGTTGTCGTCGGTTTAGTGTCGTTCATGATGTCGAAGCCGGTGATGATGGCCGAGAGTCGGCCGGTGTTGGCCGCGTCTTCTCGACTCGG